TCTATAATACCTCCAGGCTCCACCTATTAAAATATCACTTTTTTTTTAAATAAAAACAGTACAAAAAAAAATAAGGTTCACTTTTTTATTTGTATTTAGCCTTTACAAACAAGAAATGTGAAATAAACTATCAGATAAATAAAACTCTCAGACTCAGCTTATTAACAATAATATATTTCCATTTAAACTAGAACAGGCTGATTATTCATATACTGTATATTATATGATACAGTATATATGTATATCGAAATATCGGAAATGTGTTTAAAAATCGTATCACCGTTATTGAAAAAAATTATATTGCGATATTTATTGATATCGAATTATTGTCCAGCCCTAGCCTGAGTGATACTGTGATTACTATCTGTAATTACAATTGTTCTTTGAAGCAAAACTGTTCACAAAAGAAGATAAACCTTTGAGTTTTTGGCGCATTTGTGACACCGATAATCTGACCAGTACCTCGAAAGAGGCCACATGTGCTGCAATAAGAATACATTTTGGCTTAATTTTCTTCTTTACTGTGCAATAGATACATGCAATGTGGATATTAATATTGCACGTTGTGCAGCTTCCGTTTACTGCACATACTTTGCAGCTGAGCACCCTCTCCCTCTCTCCCTCTCTCTCTCTCTCTCTCTCTCTCTCTCTCTCTCTCTCTCTCTCCAGGTCATCACGTACACCAGCGCTGGGGTTGGCACGGTAGACCTGCAATTCTTCAATCGTGTGGAATTCTTTCACAAAATGCCCTCCACCAACATCTCTATAGTCATCAACAACACACAGGAGGCCGACTCGGGCCAGTACAACTGGCAGGTGGTTGTCCCGAGAGGTACTGGTTATAATGGGGAAGTCAAGCTCACAGTCAACAGTAAGTGTGGCTATGAATAAATAGATAGATAAAATAAATAAATACCCTTTTGAAGAGCAAATTTCCAAAACTCATTTTGTTGTTTGCGGTTTTTGAGATGAGACCGTAAATGACCTAAAGTCAGTCTTCTATGTTACAGTATTGGGAACCATAACTTGCTCAATCCTCATGTAATCTAGTGAACTGTTCTCGGAAACCTATCCTGCTGCCTGAGTGAGTTTTGGAAATTTGCCCTCCGGTCGGAAAATCTGCACTGGCCAGTTGCTGCTGTGTAAACACTGTCAGTTAATGGCATCATTCTGCTTCCTTGCCCCCCCCAGTCCCCCCCTCTGTACCTGTGTGTACCATGACCGGACAGCCCGTGCTGATGGGAAACATCACGCTGAACTGTAATTCTGCGGAAGGGAAGCCAGCACCCCTGTACCGCTGGAACAAGAGCTCCCCAAACAGCATGCTGTTCTTCCCACCCATGCTGAGTGAGTGCCCCTGCCGATCACGCCCTCCATATGGCTACACGCCTGTTTTCTCCCTCTCTCCCCATCCGTTTTCTAATTTAGAAAGGCCATGCAGTGAAATGGAATGACAGTAGCCTTGTGGGATAAATATGGTGGCATTGGAATATGAAATGATGCTTTAATAATAATGACACTTAATTGATCCCAGTGCCATCTACACAAGTATGAGTACATGTACATTATAATGCTTCTTTTCATATATCCCGTCTTGCTCTCCATTGAGATACTAACACACAGACACACATGCATGGAGTTGAGAGCGACGCTTGGGGTCCGAGGGGAGGGTCAGTCATTGCTCCAGTGCCCCTGGAACACCTCGGGGGGGTATGGACCTTGCTTATGATTATTCGAACCAGCGGCCTTCCAGACACAGACCCTGAGCTACTTACTACCCCCAAAAACATTAGGAGTACATTGAGATGATGTTTTATTTGCCATTTGATCTTGTTGATGTGGACGACTGGAACCCATTCATATTCAGTATAGTTTTTTTTTTCTTTATAATGTATTTAAACAGATGTTTAAAGTTGACATGTGTAACAAGGAAGGTGCTGAAACATTTAGTGACGGAAACTGTCATGCACTTTCCCTCCTGTCACATGTCAGTCAGATTACACGGAATTATCTTCAATATAGTCTTAAAGACCTGCATAGAATGATTTAATTTACAACCAGGATTCAGAAAAGGCTGCAGATAATAAAAAATTAAAAAACGGGGAATGACAGAATTACTGCGTTAAAATCTTCAGTTGCGTTCATGTTAAACTAATAGTAATTCAACGTTTCTCTTAGACACTAAAGCTTCAAATCGCAGTTGTATTTAAGCCCCTATTTCATTGTTTTCATATAAAACCCCTTGTGAAGTGTAACATGCACACGCCCCCCAGTGGGATCACATAGGGGGCACACATGCAATGGTCAAATCGTGAAAGGATGCGGTTCAAGAGATTTTCAAACAATCTTACAATAATAAAGATTTCATCATTTAAAAGACAACCAACACTGTTAAGGGTGCAGTTTCAAAATTAACCAGCAAAAAAACGAATGGACCCATATAATTTTATCTGATGGGACTGCAGTCTCTGTTAGGTATGTGGGGCAGCGTGCGGTTCAGCGGGCCGAGCCTCTGTGCCTGTGATCGGAAAGGCGCCAGTTTGAGCCCAGCCTCAACACATCTGCAGGTCCTTCAGCAAGGTCCTTAACCCCCTGCTCCCTGGGTGCTGGTATGGGTGGCTGCCCTTTGCAGCCAGCGTGCTCTTACCTACAGAGAGAAAGATGGGGGTGGTGTAAAGAGAATTTCCCCTCAGGGGTCAGTAATAATTATTATTATTACTATGTCGTATTCACACTCTTCATGTGCAGCAAATTGGCCTCAGCAATGCACGGATTTATAATGAGAGATAAGAAATGTGTTCTTAATTTGTCAGATCTGTTTCATCTGTATCGTGACAGAAACATATTAAATAGCAAAAAGTAAGGGAGAGGGGGGTCTGCCAATACTGGGGGGGGGGGCGCGTCCTCCCTTCCCCTTATATCCGATGCCCCTGGTCTCTCTTATCCTTCCGTCTCAGCATTGTCTACTTTCAATCAGCTCTTACTGTGGCAATCATTGTGGCATTGGATAGGGGGCAGCAGATGGTATCCTCACAGGACAGGCCAACCGGGGACCGTGCCAGTATTTCTACGTTCCGGATCATATTGGGTGCACCAAATGACTGGCTCCATTTTGCCAAAATTCTGGGTTTTGAGATGAATGTATTTGGGGTCATAATGACATCTGGAAGGTCTTTTGTGTTACTAGGTTTGTGTGTGTTTTCACTGACCAATGCAGCTTATTTGTCTTTACCTGGTCATTTTCACCTTCAAACAGGTCTGTTTCTATGCCTTCTCATTTTGAGGTTGTCTGCATTTTGAGCAATCAGGACTCTCTTCATTCATGATTATTCTAATGGGTTTAGAAATGTATCTTCTGCAAGTATGGTTGTTCACAGATTTTTAAAATGGCTTTATCTTTTTTAACACGCATATAAGTATATCATTTCAGTGAAGTAGCCTATTTTGGTGATCTCTGCTAGCTTAAAATGCATTTGGAGTGCATTGAGGTAGGAAATAATAATAGCACATGTCATTTGCCTTCCATTCTAAGTTTTGTAATCAAAGGACTCTCTGGTGCTTTGATGAATGACAAGGCTTAACATTTGGAGCATGACTGTGCTCAGCTGGAAAAGCCGTGTCTGCATCATCGACAAGCAGGAAGACTTATTGGCTTGGCTGGTCACAGCTCATGCTGTAGCACTGTGGGGATAGGCAGCCTAGGTTATCAGACGATCATGTGACTGTCATGTGACCCCCCCCCCCATACTTCCATGTTTTCTTACAGGTCATCAGCTGGGCACACTGAAGCTAACCAACCTCACCAGCAACATGTCAGGGAAGTACACCTGCCAGGCTAGCAATGCTGCGGGCGCGGGGGTGTGCTACATCGAGCTCGAGGTCTCCACCGGTGCGTGTATACCTGCGGTTTACATGTCAGGGACTGTGCAGTCTGTCATACAGAAATCTGACGGGACTGTGTCCTGTTCTGTGTGTAGCTCTGATCTGGCATGTCATTTTCCACGTGCAGTGTCCAACGCAGGGGTGATCGCAGGGGCCACGATAGGTGCCTTGCTGGGCCTGGTGGCAATAGTCTTTTTCGTCTACTTCATCCTGAAAAGAAAGAAGGAGTCCGAGGACGACATAGCCAATGACATCAAGTGAGATTGTGTAGAGTGTCTACCGCAAAGTCTGAAGTGTTGCTTGTCTGATTCTTTGTGGGTGTGGGAGGGAGTTGTGATTGAGACAGTATTCAAAACCCTAGATGTTGCCATCAAGACTATGGAATGTTGCAGTGGATATACTGAAATTTAACTGTTGTCTTGTCATCCCGCACCTCCAAAACTCTTCTGTCCGTTGTAGGGAGGACGCCCAGGCACCCAAGCGCATCTCGTGGGCTAAGAGCGGTACGGGCTCGGACAGCTTCTCCAAGAACGGCACCCTGTCCTCCATCATCACCAGCCCCATTCCGCAGGACCACCTCCACATACAGAGCTACCCGGTCTCCGACACCGCCTCCATCATCACCGCCCCGGGCAGCATGGCAGGCTACAGGCTGCGCCCAGGAGAGATCAACCCCGGTCTGCATGCTGGGCCTGGGTACAACGGCAGCTTTCCCCGGGCTGCTACTGGGCCGCACACCAGTAATGGGAACTCCTTGCAAAGACCTGAGCCCGCCCGAGCTCCACGCCCATCTCCACCTGCCGTTCCCACCAGTTCCCTGGTTCCCCCCATTTCCACTGGAGTGACAAGTTCTAATATCACCCGTATGGGAGGAGTGCCCGTCATGGTGCCTGCGCAGAACCAAGCGGGGTCCTTGGTGTAGCCCCGCCCCAGATTCAGCCGTCTGCTGGACACCCTCAGCAAATCGGACTAAAGATTCCTGAAGGGGAAGTTACTACTGGAGGTGGCAAACCAGTTATGAAGACAATGATGTCAGGAGGAAAAAAGACAAGTTAAGGCCAGTCAAACTACTGCCAAAGTATGTTATGATGTAACTTCATGAAAGCGTATGCAGTACATATGCAGTTTTTGATTTGATTTTGTACCGAAGATGTATAAAATTAGTAGATATGTTTAACACTGCACTGAAATAGCACAAAATGTTCTTCCTTTTTTTTTTTTCCAAACACTTGATGACTCGCGCTTTCTAAAGATATACATAAATTAAATTGGATTAGGTGACAAATATCTTTGTAAGTATAAGGTTGCCGGCTTAAGTCCGAAGAGGAAATCTGTTTTTGTGCCCTTGAGCAAGATGGTTAGCCTGAAGTGATCTACAGCATCCAGAAGTATGATTTAGTTGACTTAAATTAAAATTGCAAACCACCTGTACCAGTATAGAAAGACTAGGCTTAGGTTCGTAAGTGAAATGTTTTCCTACTGATGTATTTGTTGATGAGGACCTAAGAAAACGATGCCTGTTAAAGACGGTGTCGCTTTAAGTGTCGTGAGACATGCCTGACGCTGTGGTGAACAATTGGTTTAGGTGGGAAGATGTTCTTCCCCTAGGTGGCGCTAAAGTCAAGATTTGTTTCTGCGTTTCAGATTATTGAGACTGAAATATATTTGCCTGCCTATGGCCTAGTTTTGTCACAAACCAAATCGCTTATAAATCATTTAACTCATGCCTGTGCTAAAGTCGTAAGAAACAGATTAAACAACTTGCTCTTTTCATTTTATGGGTTTCAGACAGAACCCAACCAAAAATCTTTATTTGCCTTTAGTGTTAAGAATTTTTCAAATGCAAATACGCCTTTATGTGCAATGTTCTGTTCATTGAAATAACGTGATGCTCTGTTTTTGATATTATAGTAGTTTCAGTACTAACATTTTTTATTATGTATTTTATTCTGCGATTACGTATTTTCCCTCTCATGTTTAATGTGAAAGATGAGAATTATTCCTTTCAACCGTCTTGCGACCTTTGGTTTTTATAGATATTTGAAAGACTTCAATGTAACCCGTCGTTTCCCCTCCACAAACACTGCAAAGCAAATCGTGCAACCCGCATTGTAATATTCTTATTAATCTACACCTGTGAGTCGGACGGGTTTGTCCAGTGCTACGTTTTCGTTTTATATGTTGTATCTGCAAAATAACCCAAGTAAATATTAGATGCTTTTTCGTAACGGACTTCATGCCAACAAAAGCATTAGTCGCCGAGACGTAATCGAAAATTAACGACCACCCCCACCCTAAATGCATTTATACGTTATTTCTATTACTTTTTTTTATATACTGCCAGTTTCACTGGAAAATAATTATAGCTTAAGCAATCTGGAGTAAAGACAGATCCGTTTCATATATAAAATAAATGTGTAATGAAAGGTAGAATAATATATTACCGTATTTACAAGCAGTTGTAAGGAATATGACTTATGTATTACATGAACCATATAGTAAGTATAGTGTTAATATGAAAATGAGTGCAGCAACTGACTTATGTTTTTATGTGTATTGAGCTTCTGTCTTGTGGATTTTTTAAAAAATAAAACAGAAAAATGCTTAAAATGCGTTGCAATATTTTATGCATTCGCAATATTTTCTTTATAAACAGAATTTAACAAAACCAAAATTTTCCACAAGGTGGTACCGTCGCAACCTTCATGAATATCGTCTAGACTTTGTTAAATTGCATTATAGCATATTGTCTGATTTGAATAAAGTCTGTGTCGTTTCATTATACCCGGAATTGATTTTTTGCTTGGAATAAATTTAGCATCCTTTAATAACATATGTCGTACGTAAAATATATATATATCAAAATTTATAAGACGAATCCACATAGCACAAAAGAATCGACGGAAAGGATTTTCATGACAACCGCTTTGTGACGTATGTAATACTGACGTATGTAAGGATACGCGGTAAGGATAACACTGCCATCTAGCCAAGTTTACGTGGTATTGCACTTCAAGAGTTACTTATCCATGTACTGTGATGTCCTAGGTTAAAATAATGTAGTGGGCAGGCATTCCTGAGGCCTTTATAGCTGAATTTTAATAGAGCATGTTTCCAGATGACATTTTCTAGAGTTTGTGTGTGATATGAGAAAAGATAAAGTCAAAGATATGACTGAGCAAAGACTTTTTTCCTTTCCTACTCAAGAACACCTCTCCTACGAAAGCCAACAGTAACAGCATTTTTGAAGGTAATTCATTATCATTTTCAACAGCCACTTAACCATTTGACCACAATGACGCTAACTCGGGAAGAACACGGATAAGGCACAAGAAAAAGTCATGGGAGCAGTATCACAGGGAACACATCTTTATTTCATTAAGGATAAAAATCGCTCATTTTAATCAAGAGAGAGATGCATACGACAGCTACGTTAATGATATGCGATAAATTACATGGGTTATTAAAGATGGGAGATGGCTAGATATCGTTGTGTTGACGAAACCCTGAGGTCCTTGAAGACATATCAATGTTTGTGTGGAGTGGCATTGGACACGTGTTGTTCGATCTTTCACTGGGGTGACAGATTTCGAAAACCTGCTCTACCTGCCATCTGAGTTGCATGTGAGAGCCGCGTTCGAAGTGCACGGGCTCGCAAGTAAAGCGAAATAAAGACCAGGGCGGCTAACCTCCACACATGAAGCTGTAACGTTATCTCTCAGTTTTCGCTAGACTGAGATGCCGTGCTAGTGTGTTACGACCAATGAATGGCAGATCCTTGATTTGCATCTGAGCTGGGTAGCCAATAGGCAAATGCGAGCGCGCTGGGTACCATGCACGATATGTATTGGGTTTTAAAATGACCCGTCTAAGTACATGTGTGCGTGCATCTGGCCGTTGACGGTTCCTGACGTACCGTGTGGAATCCGGTCTGGAATAGCTACATAGACATCTTATAGATGGGGACAGGTAAGGGGGGAGCACCATCTCAAATCCTGGGTTTTGTAAAGGTGCAGGAAAGACCAGATGATCTCAGCAAAGGCAGAGGTTTATTTGGGGCTTGTGATGGATAAGGTACAATGATTAGATGCCATGGTCCATCGTTATTAATGGTTGGGGTCTCATGCAGCTTGGACTCGAGGTGGATGGCACCCTGGCAGAGCCTCGCTGGCGCTGGGCCTCGTGCGTTTCGTTTAGGTGGGACACAGCACTGAAAAGAAACGATGCAAGACATCAAGGATGACGACCACCCAGCTAGGGATGACTCTAGCAGGTTTTAAAGTAGGGGGGGCATAGTTCTTATGAAGGGCCCAACCATATAATTTGATATGATATGGGGGGAGTGGAACACTGTGGAGGTGTTACCTTTCAAAATGTAGTCAGTCAGCAGTGTTGGTACCTTCTCACTGTCTTCCTTCATCGCATAAAGAACTGCGAGACAGAGGGACAGGAAGGGGACAGACTGACTGAAAGGACAGGGGGAGGATCTTACATGTGGGCAAAATAGCTACAAAAAATGTCATGAAATGGAATATTACTATGACAGATTTCTCCTCATTTAACTCGGATTAGTTGTAAGTGCACTGCGCCCCTGCTGCTGTATGCGTTTGGAGGATTGCACTGGATCGGCAAGGAGGAGCGCAGTGACTGACTTACTCTTCGTCAGCATTTGAAGGTCCTCCACTGTAGGAGGGGTGCCGTTCTTCTCATATGGTATCACCGTGTTTAAATACTACAAAAGACAAGAAGGGATTGCTGTGCTTAAATACTGCAAAGAAGCAACCAGAAAAAACCACCAAAGGAGGAATACAAGGCACTGCATGTGGGTCAGAGGTGAGGCTCACGTGTTATGGGTAAGAGCAGCATAATTTAGCATTTTTTTTACTACAATGACCATTAATAAAAAAAAAAAAACTATGTCCTAATTAAGCTTAATCCTCTGTGTGTGTTGCCCTCTTGTGTTGCTCCTGGGCATAGCAGGACATGCAGTCAGGGGTGTTCGAGACATAGCGATGTTTGTTTACCTGTTTGTCTGTCCCTGAGTTCCCAAATGTCTGCCGGATCCCCGTCTGGAGGATATTGGACAGCCCCTCCATACTGAACCGCTGCAGCAGGGGAGGGAAGAGGCAAGTCAGTTTGGGGTTTGAGACCTCAATGAAGTGGCATACATAGCTTCCATCTCCTGTGTGTTACCGCCGGTGCTACAGACAGGGGGCGCCATAGGTCAAGAATAGAGATTATGGTGGATTTAAGGAGTGCCTTTTGCAGCCTGGAGAGGGACGGATGCAAACGGGAAATTGAACTGCGGATTTGAGGAGCTGAGGAGCAACTCCAGCCAGGAAGCCCTGTTACTGGAATCTCCTCCGAGCTGTGGGAAGGATCGCACTCACGCCTCCTAGCTTACCCATAAGTGCAGCTCAATGCTAATGGACGCCCTCCGCTCCCTGCTTATGGCACATCACCCTATCAAACCACCCAGGAAGCTTCTCGTCCTCCAGAGATCAAGCCTTTTAGTTTGGGAGGTGGAGTGTGACTCAGCAAGTTAGGCCTCTGTGTTTATGATCAGAAGGTTGCCGGTTTCAATCCCCTCCTTGGCAAAATGGCCATAAGTCCCTTTTGGACCTTAAGCAGAGCCCTTATGTTCCAGGGATGCCCAATAAATGGTTGACACTGCGCTCCGACACCAAGTTTCACTCTCAGTTGTGTACACGTATATATTAATGTGTATGTCTCAAAGTAGAGCATGATGGGATATGTGTCTCAAAGGAGAGCATGATGGGATATGTGAAAAGACACATTCCAGTGAACCTGTACTTCTGCAAACGGCAAATAAAGTATCGTTTCATTTAGTTCTTTACGTTGTACTCAAACCCAGTCCATGCCCCCTCCGTCTCTTGCAGCACCTTGATGGGCATGGATCCGGACTTTTCCGCACGGGCTGCCCCCTGCGTGCTGGAGCCCTTCTCGCGGCGTCTCCGCTTGCCCACGTCCCGCTGCTCCTTCTGCCGGTTCTGCACCTCCATCAGTGCCGTGATGAAGCTGTTCTTCACCTCCTTCTCGAACTCGAGCTCATCGCGGCGGGCCAGCTGCGTCACCAGCTCCTCGGAGTACTCGCGGATGGCGGCCTCCATGCGACACAGCAGCTCCAGGAGGGCCGAACTGGGCATTAGCCGCAGGCCTACACACATGTGCATGCAAAGGGGCGCATTTTGCATTTTACACACTTTCTATATGTGCTGTCTTGCACCTACTGTTTGCTTGTATTTTTGTTGTATACTGTTGTATATATTTTTTTATCCAGTATTTATTGTTCAAACTCTTCTTTGTTCTAGCTTTCTGGTTCCATTTTATGTGTATGAAATGACAATAAAGTGACTTGACTTGACACAACACAGCCACAGAGGCAGACAGATCTTCCTGTCCCAGCATGTTAGAGAGATCAAGGGATTCTTCTACCAGTTCAAAAAGAAGCTCGTAATTCTGTCAAAAATAGCTGAAACGCATCCAGTTTCCATAATCGATTTTCCCGCGGCCCCACTGCCTGTCTGAGATAAGCACGCAGGTTGTACCTTCGTAGGAGCAGTTGTTATTGGAGGCCTTGGACAGCACACGAATCTCCTCCAGCAGGGATGGGCTGGTGGGCGGCAAGCAGTCTCCGGTCTCCTCTTCCTCTTCCTCCTCCGTCTCCCCTGGATCTGGTGAATTCTCCATCATCTCCACGATCTCCTCGATCACCTACGTAAGGCAGACGGATCCGGTTTTGAAAGCCCTTGCCACCCAAGATGGTCACTAGAGATTTATGGGGTTGAGCCTTTACGGGTGGGGAGGAGGGGTCAGTTTTTAATAAAAAAAAGAATGAGAACATACTATTCAAACTAATTAGCGCACATCTTTTTGGGGCTGAAGGACAAACAGCTCTAGCGACAACCCTGTTGCTAACGTCAACCCCCCCCCCCCCCCCGCTCCTGTCCCACAGCCTCACCACCCTCCAAAACTGGAAACCATGGAGATATTATTTCACCTCAACTTCAAACCTCGTGACTTCTTTGGACTGTTTTATCGATTGGCTCCATCTCCTCCACCTTGAGCCTTTAGTTATTTTTACTCTTTGCTTTCCTCACCTCCCCCGAGCAGGTGCCTGTAACACATTCTCCTCGTCTGGGAGCATTCAAGGGCAGGGGAAGTACAGTGCTCCACAAACCTCCTGTCCTCGGGCAGCCGGGCTGTAGCTTACATAGCCTGCCCTAGTATCCAGCCATCTGGCGCCAAAGCTGTACCGCAGACATGCTAAATGACCATGATGTCATGCCTGTTTGCTTAATTTTTCTGCATTCTATCCATAACGTGCCACAAGCCAATAATTTAGCCAACCTAACGCTAATAACTCCCCCCTCACCTTCACTGTCTTCTGGCATTCTTAATTTCCATCTTGCTACACACTCTAGTCAAGTGCCATACGGCAACTCTGTGGTGAAAGGCGCTATATAAAATTGAACTGAATTGAATAATAATTCCCAACGGTCACCTGATCGGCCGTAATTAGCGGTTCCTCGTTCAGGCAGTTGGCCATCTCGTTCTTCTCGTTCATCTCCTCTTCCTCCTTCTCATGAATCTTGAAAGAAAAGCACATTCGTCAGTGACTGCCTGCGCGTCTGCCCTGCAGCCGCTGCGTCGCCTCCGCCGGCCACGAGTCCCTGCTCCTCTCCGCCCCTTTGTACTGCAGGTGTTACGGGAGGCAGTGCTGCCTCATTAGGCTTCCAGCATGTTCAGAAGATTATTATAAAGTTTGGGCTGGTTTCTCTGTCATGTCGGTCACTGTACGCCTCCTTTACTGATCCCAGCGTGCAGTAGCGACTGGCACATTCAATCTCCAGCACAAACAACTGGGAATTCACGAGATTAAAGTGCTGATACAATTCTATCCAATTCGTCAAATATTTTCTGTTATTTCAGTGCTCTGTTGTTTCCGCTTAAATTCATGAGAGTGATGTTCTTTGACTTGATGTGGAAAAAGGGCTGAGTGCCCTAACAGCTAATGGCGTCCATTACGCTCCATCAGTAATGGCTGATTCTGATTGTGTGACTTCGCTGGCCTACTTTTTCCAAGTACGTAACTGTGCTTTTTTCTTCCCTCAAAGACAGCCCCAGCTTTCTCTCGCCAGTCTCCCTTGGGGGGGGGGGGCATGATAGGAGTCGCCTTTTGAGCACAAACTTACATGCCACTTTTTCCACACTGGGGCATCAGACGCTTGGCAATTCACGGACGTGACATTACAAAAGGAGAACAAACTGTAGTTAAGGTTAAGGTTCTGCTTAACCTCTGTATATATTAGCTGCAGATTTGTTGAAGTTTTCAATGAGTCTTTTTCCAAGATATTTAGAAAACTTCTCAGGAACTGAGACTGCTCTATGCCTTAAAAAATACTAATATATAATAATGCTAAATTTGATCAGACAGGATGTCCATCTGATTTGACTTCCTGCCTACACTATGAATTCACCCTTAAAGGGGGAAGCAGAGGTCATTCGTGTTTACAGTGTTCCCTGGTGACACTGCTTATCTTTGTAAGACACTGCTTGTCCTTCTCAGCCTCTGTTCAGTATACTGTATATCCAACATACGTGAAGGATGTGCTATTTAAGTCCAGCTCTGCTGCTTCCACCATTGGCTAGAGTTTTAAACATTCCAACATTATTTATGCTTACATTGTGTGTTAATGTTAATTTTTTTTTTTTTTGCACTTTTCCTGTCTGCCTCTGCACTGCATGTATATATTTAGCACAGTGGTCCTGGAGAATGTTGTTTTGTGCTTGCTGTACATAAAGCCCCACTTGACTTGACTTGAATAGAATCATTTTGGCCCTCAGACTCTGAGGCGTTTCCCTAAGCCTGGGCCCACCTTGCAAATGAGTGAGAGCAGAGAGGGGGGGATGGGGGGGGGGGGGGGGACTACCAGATGTAGGATGAGAGAGAGCAGAATGGCAGGTGATGGATGTCTGAGTGGTGCTGAGGAGTCAGTACACTGCAGCTATATTTCCCCCCCCATCATCCTACTTGAAAAGAAGACAGGGAGGGGGGATTGCAGCTATAGCCTGCAGGCACAACAGCAGCACTGAGAACCCCCCCGCCCCCCTCAGTGATAGGTTGAGTGCTGCAATCATGCAGTGAACATCAAGTTACACCAAGATCACTGTATGTCTCATCTCAGTGAATTATGATACATGATAATGCTCAGATGTTCTTTGCTGGCAAAAATAGTGGAAACGCCTAGCATTTTTGGCATTACGCTTTAAGAATTACTGTACAAATACTGCTAGTAAAGTTTAAAAACAATCAAAGAATGTTTACAAATATCATACACTGGATGATTAAATAAGTCACTGGAGTAACTGGATTAAAGTTCTGCGGTGTGTAAAAATTGGAAGCGTTTCCACAATTTTGGCCACTAGTGTATGTAGCTTAACAAAGAGCTTGACAAGGAGAGTGATGCGCTTACAGTACATGGGTCGAGGGCCTGGATCCCAGGGAACGCACATAAAATTGCAACCCTGTACTGTAAGTTCTGGACAAACGTGTCAGATAGATTAATAATTGTGTGCATGGTTATACAGAATGAAGCCTACCATCATTTTTGTACACGGAGAGTGTGGAGGCAGATCGGACACAGTTACCTCCTGATCGGAGAGGTTTCCATTGAATCCCTCTGAGTTGGGGTCGTCCCAGCTGGAGCCAGACGAGGGCAGGTAATTATCAGTCAGAGCATCCCACACGCTGCGATGCGAACGACAGTCAGGTGTTATCCCGCGGTGGTATCCCGCGGCTCGCTGCAGACGGCAGGACTTAAAGGGGCAAATCCTGATGATAATTTCTCACTATAATTAAAGGCTCGGCCAGAGTGCTGTCGCCCGTCGCTGCCAGTCATGTCAGAGCCCATGAGGGAATTGGGCAACTACTGCTGTGGGCCACAGCCATCAAAGGCATGGTGTGACAATTTCTTATTGACTTTATTTGTATTGTTGCTCTAGGAGTCAATAATGACAACAGAAATGATGGTAAATAAATACAAAGAAAGCAGAATATATAGGAAAAAAGTCCAATAAATAAAGAGTATGTGTGGATTCTTAATTGGACACGTGTAAATACAGATAATCGAGAAACAGCACTGACAGATGACTGTTCAAAACTGCCATAAGATGATTTAAAAAGAAACTATTAAAAAAAACACAATGGACGTGGTTGGTTGGGGCTCCCCCTTTAGGTTAGGGGTGTACAGCTATATATCAAGAATTCTTCATTAGTGTGGTGACGCATTCACATTCACAATAAACTGTAATGTTTTTGAAACATTAAATAAATTATTCACAGACTTCATATGCTATTGGCTCTTGTCTTAAAACCTTGATGAGCCAATGGTTGTTGAGAGCCAAATGGTCTTTGTCTATATGGAGCAAGACTGTTGTTTGGAGGAAAGGGGCTTCCTGTACATTTAGACATCAGCCAGGGTGCGTGCTGCTTGCTGCATGGAATTTGACACAGGAAGGAGGTCAGCTCCTCCTTTTCGTGCCCTCTCTTTCGAATCCAGCCCTGAGGCCACTAAGTGGCACTGGCCAGCACTACAGGGAACAAGTGTCTTTTGAAGGCCAAGCCGTCCGCTCATTTGCATGCAGGCGGAGCCTCTGGTCCTTCAGGAAGCAGAAAATTGGTGGTGCAACGTGCCGCACGCAGCCAGGAAAGCAGCGATTCCAACCAGGAGGAAGAATAACAGTTCATGCACTCGGGATAATGTCATTTTATAGCCTTATATTTATTTTCTGTTTATCTGTTATTTTTATTCTCCCCCCCCCCCATTTTTACCCAGTGCTTATTTTTGTTTGGATTTGAATATTTCATATTGACTAATTTTGGTATGAAAGGACAAGATAGGGCTGATCTGTTTTTGTAACAAGAGAGGTTATTTTTAGACGCCATTCCTGCCTTCTGGCCCTTGGCAAATCAACTGTCTGCTGGTAGCGGAAGGCGCGGACGAACCGAGCTGGCGAACCGTGCGTGAAAACAAGAGAAATGACTTAGAGCTAAGGAAGTCAGCTGTAGGCGGAGCCGTACAGGTGGCGGATGGCTCGGTGGGCCGTGCGCCTGTCACATGATCACTCTCAAGGCCAGAATTAACCTTGGAGTCTCACAACTGAGTCAGCTGGGATTTGGGAATGTGGAAATGCAGTCCGCCCTCGAAGAAACAATGCAGAAAAATCTCACGTTTCTCTATTATAAAAATGGAAAAGATGCACCTTGCCCAGACTCAAAGGCAACATGTCTCAGAACAGTAGCAGGACACATAGAGATGTGTTAAGGACATCAGAGTATGGATATGCTAAAAACAATTAGCGACACTGCTAATATGAAGAGGTAGAAAAGCTGGCAACAGGGTGCACTCACTCTTCATCCTGCAGACGTTCCTCGTCCTCCTCTGTGTGGGAGTGGTTGCGCACGGGAGCCAATCCCTCGGTCTTGGTGTTGTAGTTGTGGAAGCACACGTTGAGTTTCTCGTCAAACTCGTTGACCAGGTCTTCCATTGACTTGAAGCTCATCATCTCAGAGAAGTTCTCTAGCTCTGAGAAGTCTTCCCGGACCAGGGGCACAGTCCCGAAGGGACGTCGAGGTGCCTGCTCCACCTCTTCGTGTCTGCAAGGCCTCAGGTCTTCGAACTCCTCATCCAGACATACAAGTGGAGCCTCCATTTTGTAGTTGTCACAGCTTAACATAAAGAAAGAGTCCTGAAATAAGAGCAGACATCACGAGGGGAGGGATTAAAGACCTTTCAACGGTGGGAAGGTTTAACATGTTCCCGGCAACTTTAACTGGAAAACATTAAAAAAACATAAACCATTTCAGTATTCCATCAGCTATTTATAACATTTGCTATCTGCACCTCTAGAGCACAATAAATCAGTAAGATGAATTACAGTTGTATTTTTGATGACTGCAGTATTAAAATGCATTCACTTGAGAAGCACATTAATTAACTTTCTGTTTAACTGATTTTTTTTTTCTAAGCCAAGCTAAGCTCTTGAAAAAACATGTAAAGACATAGTCAAAAGATGGAGATACACTGTTCTGTAGGAAATGCAAAAGTGCTTTGGATGGACAAGATCAAATTCAGAAATGCATACAGTGAGGATTTTGCTGATGAAGCAAGGGACCCAGCAATCAGGGTTATGAATAAACCCCAGAAATTATATATGCCAAAAGCTACGGCATTTGAAAGCATAGCCCTTAGGTTACCATGGCTTGTTACCCTTGTTCTGCCACTAAGGAGAAGGCTTCAAATTAAAGTGAGCTCAGAACTTCTCTTGGCAACACTGAAGGACATTCTGTTCTACCAGTTGGTACACAATGCGATGCAACATGCATTGTGTAAAGATAGATAACAGTTTGGAAGAGCGTTCAACCTGTATCTTAAGCAGAATCGAGGTGGGGGTGGGGATAAAGTGTCAACTGCAGTGTCGTAACATTGTTAAAAGGATAAAATCCACAATCTGGCCAATCAGTAACATAATCCCTGTTAAGCTGAGTCACAATACAGTGTGCAGTGATATTCAGAGCTGTTTATTATGGCTATTATTCAATACTGTTATCAATATTTTACACAACATGTTTACATGCATGCATGCATCCATCCATCCATCATCCCAGTCAAGATCACAGGCACAAGGCTAGGATTCGATGGGATGCCAGTCCATTGCAAGGCAAATATATGTACATTTAAGCAAAAACACTTAAATGGAATTTAATATTTATATATAAAACTGGGGTGGCTCAGTGGTCAGCTCTCTTGCCTTACTCATCTGAGTACCTAGCATGGCTCCATGTGTGTGGACTTTGCATGTTCTCTCTGTGTCATCATGGGGTTTCCTCTGAGTTCTTTGGTTTCCCCCCCACAGTCCAAAACATACTAAGGTTAATTGGAGATGTCACATTGCCCATAGGTCTGCAACCCTGAACAGGACAAGCAGTTACAGAAAATGGATATATGTGTGTGTGTGTGTGTGTGTGTGTGTCATACCTTCTTGTAAAGCAAGACAGATTCTTGTATATATACAAAAATATTTCTATGATTTGCCTGTTATATATCTGAAATACATTACCATTTTTTGCTAACCCGTCTCACGACGCTTATATTTTATGTCATCAAATCAGGGATGACCCAGACCAGTTATGCTCCTACGATGTAAAGCCCATCATATTATTTTGTTGTATTATATTTTAATATTATTATTAATGTAAACCATATAATATTTTTTTCTCGTATTTTTATAGACAGCACTACAGGACTCCTTTGGGCTGCATGAACAACAAAGACAATTTTAGATGCTTATCTGGCCTGGCAAAAGGAATGGAGAGAAAATGCATTGGAAAGTAGCCTGTGTAAGGCAGCCTGCGTAAAGCCCCTCCTTGGTGCCTCATTACTCAGCAGAGAGTCACTTAAATCAAAGGCAGGTGGCATTTGTCTGACTTCCTCCAGGTCCCCACGTGTATTTGGGGAGACAGGCTGCCACCAAACACTCTAGGAGCAAGTGGTATCCCCTGGCACAAAGTAACGGGCCCTGCTCTGAGATGCTTATCGCTCACAATAAAAACAGATATTTTAATTCAATATTAAATAATTAGCAGATTTTTTTCTTCTGCAGGAAGTGGCTTTGGAAGCCGTTTGAGATATCATTTATAAAATGATGTTATAAATCATCTCAGTTGGCGAGCTGTAGCCCAAACGTAGGTCTTGGGGCCATTTTCATTGCACCCCAGAGTGTGTGATTAAAAAAAAATGATTTGGAAAATTTTTCCTGATGCAATTTTTTTTATCCACAGTGCACAAAGGCATTGTGCTACTGTTACTGCACACTAGTCTATTTACTATTACTGCACTATTTTTTTGTTCAATAAATTTTGTTCAAAATTTAAAATTTTTTGGTTTGACTTAATGATCAAGGAAATATGTAGGTCTTGAGGCTAAGCCGTTTGAGAACCACTGTTATAAATAATGTTGCTGTTGTTTTTTTTTTTCTCATGAAGTCCCATACAGCGAACAGCCCTTATCCTGAGCACATAGCGTCCAGAGCATCAGCGTACGTCGTGTGGAAAACAGAAGCGGGGATTGTCTGACGGCAGTGAGACGGTCTCATCATCTCTCATGATTTCTCGAAGGCGTGAAAGTGTGGAGAAACTAAGTGGAGTGAAAAAGGAGGGTTTGTGTGTCTGTGTGCGCTTGTGTATGTGTGTGCGTTTGTCACCCGGCATCTCAGGGAACAAGGTTTATTGTCTTTCCCTGGACCCAATCCCTTCTACACAACAACCGTTCAAAACAAAGAGACCGATAAGATTGCCATAGGTCACAGAAAGCAAGAGCTGTCCCGATTTGGCAGAGAGTACAAATAATTAGTGTAGAAAATGGAGTCTGAATTACATCTCTGATTGCATCCACATATTTTGATGCAAAGACATTACAATAGCTGTCACGTGTTGCAATTTTTTAATTACTAAAAGACATATGCTGTTTTAGGATGAATAAATGCTAATTAAATTAATTATAGTTGAAAGCCAGTATTGTAAATTCATGCATTTGTGTGATGTTTCATTCACATCGATCAAGAGTGTTGAAAAAAAACCAGCTCACATGACCCAGGTGCAAAACAAACCACATGACAGGGGGCTACAGAATGTACCAGCAATGTCCAGCTACCTTTCGTTCCCAACATATTTCACGTTGAACGCAACAGAAGGGCCAATGCTATAAGCGCTAAGTCCCTGGGAATGACATCGCGCTGAAGTAACGTAATTATCAAATGCTAATTCTGACATTCAAGGCTACCGTTCGGAGACACTGAAAGCAGTATGTTTTCAAACATGGAAGCCAGCTTCCACTAGAGACAGAAAACACCAAATAAAATGGTTTTACCTCACTGCTGGTAAACAGACAGACAGAGAAAGCCAGAGATGGTTAAAGCAAGAGATGAGTAGCAGGAGGAAGATCTGAGTATGTATAGAGAGAAACAAGGTAAAATGAGGAGAGAAAATGATGGAAAAAAAAAAGGTTCCTCGGGGATGGAGACGGTGCCTGAACCTATTACCTGCAAATGAACGAAGGAGTCCTCGGGTTGTGTGGCGGAGGGTAGGAAGGACCTCCTAGGCGACTGAGATGTAGGCTATGCCACCCTCATCTGCTGCAAATCCCAGCGCTGCTGAAACGGCGGCAGTCACGGGCATCCCCTGTCCGCTGAGCCACTAGGGTGAGGAGAGACAATGGCGGAGCTGTTTCTCTGCGTTCCCCCCCCCCACGGTCGCCTCTGCTGCTTGGCTGCACGCTCGCCGTCGCCGTCTCTCAGCTCGCAGGGCCGGTGCTTGTTGTTTTTGAATCGATAGGCAGCAGCTCTACTTAGCTAGAGAGCTTGCGCGCATCCCTACGGCAACTGACTGAATTATCCCCCTCCCCCCTCCC